AAAAAAAAAAAAAAAAATAGTCTATACTCTCCAGTTTGGGAAGCATAACAAGATCTTGCCTCTAAAAAAACTAAAAAGTTAAAAATCAAAAAATTTTAAAAAGCTGATCAGGCATGGTGGTTATGCCTGTAATCCTAGCACTCTGGGAGGCCAAGCCAGGAGGATCACTTGAGGTCAGGAGATCGAGACCAGCCTGAGCAAGAGCAAGATCCCCATCTCTACTAAGAACAGAAAAATTAGCTAGGTGTTGTGGGGGGTGCCTGTGGTCCCAGCTACTTGGGAGGCTGAGGCAGGAGGATCACTTGGACCCAGGAATTTGAGGTTGCTGTGAGCTAGACTGATGCCACAGCACTCTAGCCTGGAGCAACAGAATAAGACTCTACCTCAAAAAAAAAAAATTTTTTTTTTAGAAAGCAATGTAAAAATATCTAGATGGTAGAATGATTATTGGTATTTTATAAAATACTTTGCAGTACTTCCTAAAGATTCTATCATGACTGTATTATTTTAATAATCCAAACAAAGCTAGTAAAACAAATTGGCATAGAAAATATTAGCAGAAAATAGCCACCTCCTTTCCTTGAACTGGGTAGACCCAGGATTAAGTGAAACTTCTAACCCTCAGTTCATAAAGTGCTTAGATTATAGCAGTTGCTTTCTATTTCTAGGAATAATTCTAGATTTATGAGTACTGAAGCAGTCAAATTGGTTCACTTTAAAAAATAGCTATCCTACCATACTATATAAGCAATTTCATTGTAACTTTATGCATTTTATTCATTAAAGGCTGGCAGAATTGTATCATTAGGAAAGTTTATTCAGGATTCTCTCACTAGGTAACTCAATAGGCCCTTGACTTTAATAATTCCTGGGGGAGAGTGGCTAATGAAGTACGTTTACAAGCACTTACCGTGGAGAATCTATTCCACTATCCCCTGCCATGCTATGATTTTCCGTTCCTTCCAAGTGACTGCGTAGGTGTTGGTTATCCTGAGCCAACACTGACATGTGTGAAGTATTGAAAAGTTCCAACTTTTGCGGGAAATGTTTTCTCATTTCCTGATTCTGAGGACTCTGACTCCAGCTAACGGGCTTCTTTTCTGTGTCACCAACTGAGTCTTGTGGGGTTTCCACTTCAGAACTGGCTTTTCTTGTGCTGTGGTAATCAAATATACTTCCCTCTGCAGCTTCTGAGCCCTGGACACATTTAGCAACACTGGGTTCTTCTTCGTAGTTAAAACAAAACTGGGTCCCTGAATTTGGGCCACAGCTTTCAGCAGAAAAATTAGGCTTTTTGCCTTCCCCAAGGTTAGCCAGTGAGCTAGAAGGTTTGTAACATTCATTTCTTTTAAGCACCTGAGGCTCAAACCTATCCGTTTTGCTACTGTACTCTGTCAGAGAGTTCTCAGTCACTTTTTGTTTTCCTAAATAATTCCCCTTGCTTTCAGCTATAAAGGAATACTGAATGTGGCCAGGCAGCATTTGATGTAAGTCATCGTTCTCAGAAAAGTCATCCTCTTCTAGATATAATGAACTGCAGGCACCGTCATCGTCTTCCACTTCATTCTGATACCAGGCCTGGTCTTCATCAGAAAGACCTTCATTTGTTAGGTTCTCTGTCTTCACATCCTGGACAAATTCCTTTCTCATTATTTCTTCTGAGTCTCCGTCTTGTCTGTCAGGTTGTCTTAAATGGTTCACATCAACTGGGTAGTCCAAAAGGCTAAGATTTTGAAACTGGTGTATTGTCTTATCAACAAATCTACAAGCAGAGGATGTCTGGTCTAAAGAGCAAGAGCCTCGTGATGGCGGGATATGCAGTGTTTCTTTGGTCTCTCCTAATTTCTCAAAGTAGGAATGACTTTTCCTCAAGACTTCGGAGATTATCTTGTTTTCTCCATCACACATGTCATATCTCAACATGCTTTCCCTAAAGGCACAGCACTTACCATTATTTTGCAAAACACTGCATTGAGGGTGATTTAAAAGATGATCTCTGAAGTCATGGCTGATGGGTTTGACAGTAGAGTTATTCATAAAAATGGATTCTACTTTAAGTTTGTCATTACATTGTTCAGCATATGGCTGTTTGGCTTCGCCATCAAAGATCCTTGAGGAATCCAAAGACCTTGACCTTTGGAAAGGCATTTCCTTTGGTCCAGGCTGACTGGGTTTTAGATCACTAGTCTTCTGAATGTTGTGTCCTTTGATTATCAGGCTTCTTCGGTGAGATAAACCCTGGAAAGGATTACTGATTCGCTTTTTGTAAATCAAATGGGAACCCAGCACTGCGAGATTCTCACCAAGTGGCTTCTGAACTACTGCTTCATTGGGGCTTTTAGTTTTAGGGGTCGGCTGTGTAGTAGGGAGCTGGGGATGTTTCTGCAGTCTACTAATTCCTGGCTGAAGCTCACTTCCCTGATTCCTAGCTTTGTGTCTATCCCTAGAAGAACGGCTCCGCCCTCGAGGCTTTGCAGACCAACCCTGCCTTTTCTTAACTCCCTCTTTAGAAGGATAGTTATGCCTGATTGTCAGCTTATCAGTGGAAGTGCCCTGGCTGTTATATTTTTTCTGTTCTTCATACTTTTGCATTAGGACAGTGTGTTTAGTTAAGTTGTCAACAGTCAGAATGGGGTTAATTCGTTTGATTATCTCGTGCTCAACATCTCGCGGGATATTGTCCAAGTTATCCTCATCTCGCACAGGCCATTCTTCCGGGGGGAACTGAGCAGAGAAAATGCTGTGTTCTGTTTTGGGTCTCTCCTTTCTGGATATGCTGCGCCACAAGAAACTAAAACCAAACTTCTTGCCTTTTTCTCTGTCCCTTGTGTATGGTAAAGGTTTGGTGCTCTCACAAACATGAAGCTCCTCAGTCACTGAAAGTGCCCCATTCTGTGCCCAACGCTTGACTTCCCCAAGATGTTTCTGGCCTTTCCTAGTCACTTCTGCAGCCGTTGGTGGTTCCTGAACATTCTGAGTGCACACATCAGGGTGACACTGGCAAGACTGACAATGGGAAATGGGGACAGCAATCTCTTGGGTTGACTCTGCACAGCTCTCCATGCTCACTAGATATGACTTGGAAGTTGGCATTGGGTGACTTGCATCTGATAGGAAGACTCTCTTATTCTCCTGGATGGTCGTGTTTGTAATGAAGTAAGTCCGAGGTGTAACTATGAAGTATCCTTCTCCGGTGTGATAAATCTTCCTTTCTCTAATCAGAGTTCCCAAAGTAGCATAGAGAATATCTTGAGATGGAATTGCAATCCCTAAAACAAACAAGCAGTTTATACTGATCAAATGTGAATAAGTAACAGTTTAATGAGTGAAATCAGTAACTCAGAAATGACCACACATTTGCTTGATGAACTAGAGCTGATTATAACACGATTAATATATACCATTAAAGCGCCAACTAAGCACAGGTGACATTCATAATTTAATTATAATAGGAATATACTTTAACCCACATAGACATATGGCTAGGTTAATGGATAGAGAAAAAAAATCTGAATTCACTCAAATACAAAACCATTATAAATTTAAATTTTAACTGAGGCAAGCATTCTTGATGAGTAAACATGGGAATTTTTAACCACTACAGTCTCATAGCTTAAATATTCATAAGAATCTAAAGCAAAAATGAAAGCTAGTCTGTGCTTGGATGAGGGCAAACTCCCTAACATTTGGATATAGTAGTTTTTCTTTTTTTTTTTTTTGAGACAGAGCCTCAAGCTGTCCCCCTGGGTAGAGTGCCGTGGCATTACAGCTCACAGCAACCTCCAACTCCTGGGCTCAAGCGAGTCTCCTGCCTCCGCCTCCCAAGTAGCTGGGACCACAGGCGCCCACCACAACGCCCGGCTATTTTTTGGTTGCAGCCATCATTGTTGTTTGGCGGGTCCGGGCTGGGGATTCGAACCCGCCACCTTAGGTGTACGTGGCTGGCGATATCGTAGTTTTTCAAAGCAAAAGGTTAACAAAATAAATTTAAGAAATTCCCTTTCCAAATAGCAGGGTTCAAAATTATATTATGAAAACAATGTTGAGAATGTTTATATAAGAAAAATATTGGAAGAAAATATATCAATGTATTAACATTGTTTTCCCTTGGGCTGTGGTACTTTTTTATACTTCCTGGATTTTTCTACAATAAGTATTTTCATTATGTAATGGGAAAAATGAAAAATATCATTCTATAATCATGCATTAGGATATCATGCAGCTATTAAAAGAGTGAAATAAGTGCGGCGCCTGTGACTCAAAGGAGTAGGGTGCCGGCCCCATATACCGGAGGTGGTGGGTTCAAATCCAGCCCCGGCCCAAAAATGCAAAAAAAAAAAAAAAAAAGTGAAATAAATCAACATATGCTGGTATAGAAAGATCTCTAAGATATTTTTTCTTTCTCTTTTTTCTTTTGAGACAGAGTCTCATTATGTCACTTGTGACAGAGTGCCATGGCATCACAGCTCACAGCAACCTCAAAGTTTGGGCTTAAGCAATTCTCTTGCCTCAGCTCCCAAGTAGCTAGGACTACAAGTGCCTGCCACAGTACCCAGCTATTTTTTGGTTGTAGTTGTCATTGTTGTTTGGCAGGCTTGGTTTGGATTTAAACCCGCCAGCTCCAGTATATGTGGCTGGCACCCTGGTTGCTGAGCTATAGACATGGAGACATTTTTCTTTTTCTTTCTTTCTTTTTTTGAGACAGGGTTTTGCTCTGTCACCCAGGCTGAAGTACAGTGCCATCATCATAGATCACTGCAACCTCAAATTCCTGGGCTCACATGATCCTCCTGGATAGCTGGGACTACAGGTACATGCCACCATGCCCAGTTTTCTACTTTTTTGCAGAGATGGGGTCTTACCTTTGCTCAGGCTGGTTTTGAACTCCAGACATCAAGCAAACCTCCCACTTCAGCTACCCAAAATGCTAGGATTACTGGTATGAGCCACTGTGTCCAACCTCTAAGCTATGTTTGTAAGTGACAAAGTGAAAGGTGAAGAAAGAATGCGTAGAATATCTACTTTATATTAAAAAAGGATATATATACATTCAAATACAATTTATGAAAGCATATATTAAAAACAATAGCAGTTGTCACCTGCTATTGGGAATGGGCAGATTTAAGGTGAGGGTAGATAAACTTTTTGTTTTGCACTTCTCTCTACAGAGTCTGATCTATTTGGTCACTAGTCATGACTAGAAAAAACCAAGTTTGATCTATTTACTTATTATCATAATCATTTTTTTTTAAAGTTCATCTGAGGAACAAAAGAAGTAACTCTTTATCAAATTTGTTGTTGCAGGACTTTTTCTGGCAGGGGTCCACTATAAGATTCTACAGATGTAAGCTTCTATAAAAGGAATCTTATTTGACCCAAGAATCCCGCTACTGGGTATCTATCTGCCCAAGGAAATGAAGTCATTTTATCCAAAAGACACCTGCCCTCAAATGTTTATTGTAGCACAGTTCACAGCTCCAAAAATGGTGAATCAGTCCAAGTGTCCATCAATTCATCAGTGGATTAACAAATTGTGGTATACATATACCATGGAGTACTAGTCAGCCATAAAAAGGAATGAATTAATGTCTTTTGCAGCAATTTGAATGGAACCTGACACCATTACTCTAAATGAAATTTCTCAGGATTGGAAAAATTAAGACTACATGTACTCTCTGGAACTAACTGATGGGCACACAGGGACAGAAAGAAGTAAAGATCAATGGAAATCAATAAGGAGGGGGAGGTAGGGAAGGGTAAAAACCTACCTAACAGGTACAATAAATATTATTCAGGTTGATGGGCATAGTAATCGCCCTGACTTAAGTGTTATAAAAGCTTTCCATGCAACAAAAAACATTTGTACCCCTTAATATTTTAAAATAAGACCCTAAATTTATATATAGAAAGGATATTACCCAGTGTACTTAAGTATTTAAGATTATTTATAATGAGTAAAAAACAAATACATGCAATGAACTGCAAATAGAGAATACTCCACCTGGGTAATGTTTCATCAGATGCTCCAAAAGCGATTCCTGTGTTACTACAGTCTGAGCCACATTCATATCAGATATAGCACAGCAAAGAATGTCAGCCAAAGGTACAAACTGAGATTGAGCTATTGGATTCATTTGCACTGGAAAGACATCACCTATATTAGAGATTTAAAAAAAGGGAGATACGATAAAATTGATATAGTATAAAATGTCTGGAATTAGTGAATCAAGAATAAAGACTGAGGCTTGGCACCTACAGCTCAGTGGCAAGGGTGACAGCCACATATACTGGGGCTGGCAAGTTCAAACCTGGCCCCTGCCTGCCAAACAACAATGACAATTACAACAGCAAAAAAAAAAAAAAGAAAGAAAAAAGAAAAATAGCTGGGTGTTGTGGTAGGCACCTATAGTCCCAGCTACTTGGGAGACTGAGGCAAGAGAATCGCTTAAGCCCAAGAGTTTGAGGTTGCTATGAGCTGTGATGCCATGGCACTCTACCAAGGGCAACATAGTGAGATTCTGTCTCAAAATAAATAAGTAAAGACTGAATAGTAGGTGGGATTGCCATTTTTTCATCAGTCTTTACTCAGAATCTGTTAACATGATAGAAATTATGGAATAAATGGGTTTTCTTTTCTTTTCAGACAGAGTTTCACTTTGTTGCCCAGAGTAGAACACACTCACAGCAACTTCAAACTCCTGGGCTCAAGTGATTCTCTTGCCTCAGAGCCTCCCGAGTAGCTGAGACTATACTTCAAACCCGGCCCTGGCCAAACTGCAACAAAAAAATAGCTGGGCATTGTGGTGGGCACCTGTAGTCCCAGCTACTTGGGAGGCTGAGGCAGGAGAATTACCTAAGCCCAGGAGTTGGAGGTTGCTGTGACTCCACAGCACTCTACCAAGGGCAATAAAGTGAAACTCTGTCTCTAAAAAAAAAAAAAAAAACAAAACCAAAAAAACCCCCAAAAGTAGAGACCATAGTGAAAAACTATTTCTGCTGGGCCCGGTGGTTCATATCTGTAATCCTAGCACTCTGGAAGGCTGAGGTGGGTGGATTGCTTGAGCTCACGAATTCAAGAGCAAGAGCGAGATCCTGCCTCTTAAAAAAAGCCAGACATGTGACAGATACCTATAGATTTCTTTTTCTTTTTTTTTTTTTTTTTTTGAGACAGAGCCTCAAGCTGTCCCCCTGGGCAGAGTGCCGTGGCATTACAGCTCACAGCAACCTCCAACTCCTGGGCTCAAGCGAGTCTCCTGCCTCCGCCTCCCAAGTAGCTGGGACCACAGGTGCCCGCCACAACGCCCGGCCATTTCTTGGTTGCAGCCGTCATTGTTGTTTGGCGGGTCCGGGCTGGGGATTCGAACCCGCCACCTTAGGTGTACGTGGCTGGCGCCTTAGCCGGTTGAGCTATAGGCGCCGAGCCACCTATAGATTTCTTGATTGGAAGGTGGTCATTGGTGACTTTCATGAAAATTGTTTTAGTAAAAAGAAGACAAAAATTAAATATCAGATTTAAGGAGAGGAAGTTAGCTAAAAAAAGAAAAAAGTAAAATTAATGGTTCTTTCTTCTAGAGCAGCATTTCTCAACTTTTGTACTTTTGACATTTGGGGACAAATATATATAGGGTAACCTATGTTCCCTTCTTGCCCAGGATTGAGGCATTTCCTGGGACATGGGACTTTCAGTACTATAATCCCATAACCAGGAAAGTCAAAAGAAAACGGGAATGATTAGTCACCTAACCAGACAATTTTGTTCTGGGAGGATGTGCTGTGGATTATGAGATAAAGTTTAGTAGCATCCTGGCCTCCATCAACTAGACGCTAGTAGCATTTCCCACAGTTAGAGCAACCAAAAGTGTCTCCAAATATTGCCAAATGTCACCTGGGGGGCAAAGCCATCTCGATTTGAAACCACCATTCTAGAACATTTGTATGTGAAATCTGATTGTAAAAGAGGAGAAACAGATCACAAAACCAGAAAGGAGCAGGATCAAGTGAATATGACTGCGTGGGTATGTTGAGATGTTCTTAAAATAAGATCTCTGCTCCTTTGCATGCAAAAAGAAAGAGCTTAGTGGAGATGATGGACATGATTCTGATCAAGAAGATCAGTAAGACAGCAAGATCCCAGATCTTGCTGGGATTGCGGACCAAAGGTACAGGTAGAGGGGATAGCTTAGAAATAAAGATGTTACGTCATCTGAGACTTGAGAAAAGAATAGAGTGGCAGAAGACCAAAACTGTATGGAGGCAGAGAAGGGAAAAAATGTTAGTATGGCAAGGTCTTTGTAAGACAGGAACGGATGGGAATGGAAGGAGAAAAATATGGGATGAATGGGAAATAGAGGGTAGAAAGGGTTTTCGTTGCTGTTGTTTTAGAGATGAGGTCTCGCTGGATCTCTTGGGCTGAAGTGATCCTCCCGATCCTCCCACCCTAGCCTCCTGAGTAGCTGGCACTATAGGCACTCACCACCTTGTGTGGCTTAAGGAGCTATTCTTGAAGTACCATGAAATAAAAAATGAATAAGAAGATTATGAGGGAGCCCTGAGTCTCAAGGTGCTGTAAGCACTATTTCTGGCAGACAGGTTCAAGTTTAGAATGGAAAAGGATGTACAACAGGGAGGCTATCACACACTTCTAACACTTCAATGTACACCTGAGAATCGCTGCATGTCTTGCTAAGGTGCAGATTCTGATTTGGAGGGTCTGGGGCACAGCCCAAGATTCTGCACTTCTTACAACCTCCTAGGGGATGGTCATACTTCAGGTCTGAGGACTACTCTAAGGAGCCAGTAGAGTGTTAAGGTTTTTGGTTTTGTTTTTTTTTTTTTTTTTTGAGACAGAGCCTCAAGCTGTCTCCCTGGGTAGAGTGCTGTGGCATCACAGCTCACAGCAACCTCCAACTCCTGGGCTCAAGTGAGTCTCTTGCCTCCGCCTCCCAAGTAGCTGGGACCACAGGTGCCTGCCACAGCGCCCAGCTATTTTTTGGTTGCAGCCGTCATTGTTGTTTGGCGGGTCCGGGCTGGGGATTTGAACCTGCCACCTTAGGTGTACGTGGCTGGCACCTTAGCCGGTTGAGCTATAGGCGCAGAGCCGAGTGTTAAGGTGTTAATGCTCACAATGTTAAAGTAGCTTACCATTCAACAAATAAAGATGGTCTTAAGGCTGGATGGGTTAAGTGTAGCCAGAAGGAAACTAAATGACTGAGAAAACTTGACTACGCCCTGCACTGAACCCTCCTGACAGTGAAGAAACCAGTTGTTGCGGAGGAAGGAAGGTGATGGATTAGTGAGGTTTCATGAAGGACTGAAGCCAAAGCTGGCAAGTGGCCAATACTGTATTTTTATTTTATCTGCATGAAGATAAAGGACTTCCCTAAGGAAATCCAAAAGCTGTTTGCTACCATATATCCCGTTGTTCTGTCCCTTTGTTTACTTGTGGTCTTTATCTGGCCTTGGAAGCTCACATCACAGGGTATAAGTGCTATCTGTTTCTGCAAGCTTTCCCCCTGATGTGACTGTGACTGTCCCACAGGGTAACACATGATGCTAAGAGGGCTACAGCATTCTGAGAAACCAGGATAAACGGCTAATCAGTCAACTAGCATTTCAAAGGGTGGCGTTAGATGTTGCCCTGAAACTCCCCTAAAACAAACCCTTCCTTGAAACTCCACTTCTGAGCTAAGGATAACAAGCTTTTCTCTGTATCCTCACTCTTTTTTTTTTGAGACAGAGCCTCAAGCTATTCCCCTGGGTAGAGTGCAGTGGCATCACAGCTCACAGCAATCTCCAACTCCTGGGCTCAAGCGAGTCTCTTGCCTCTGCCTCCCAAGTAGGTGGGATCACAGGCACCTGCCACAACGCCCAGCTATTTTTTGGTTGCAGCCATCATTGTTGTTTGGCGGGCCTGGGCTGGATTTGAACCCGCCACCTCAGGTGTATGTGGCTGGCACCTTAGCCACCTGAGCCACAGGCGCCAAGCCCTGTTTATTTTCCTATTTTCATAGGAAAGCCAATAGTCAAAATTTATTTTTCATGGGGCTGAGGAGAGGTGCCTGGGGCTTCCTATAGATTTATTTGCTATCTCCTATGATTCTATAATTATTTCAAAATAAAAATGAAACAGGCAGTGTCCATAGCTCAGTGGGTAGGTCACCAGCCACATACACTGAGCTTGGTGGGTTCGAACCAGCTAAAACAATAATGACAACTGCAAGAAAAAAGATAGCGAGGCATTGTGGCAGGCACCTGTAGTCCCAGCTACTTGGGAAGCTGAAGTAAGAGACTTGCTTAAGCCCAAGAGTTTGAGGTTTGAGCCCAAGAGTTCGAGGTTGCGGCTCAAACCTAAGGTGGCGGGTTCGAATCCAGCCCGGACCTGCCAAACAACAATAATGGCTGCAACCAAAAAATAGCCGGGTGTTGTGGCGGGTGCCTGTGGTCCTAGCTACTTGGGAGGCTGAGGCAGGAGACTCACTTGAGACCAGGAGTTGGAGGTTGCTGTGAGCAGTGAAGCCACAGCACTCTACCCAGGGGGACAGCTTGAGGCTCTGTCTCAAAAAAAAAAAAGAGTTCGAGGTTGCTGTGAGCTGTGACAGTACAGCACTCTATGGAGGGTAACATAATGAGACTCTGTCTCAAAAAAAAAAAAAAAGAGCAAACAAATCTACTACTAACTAGGAAGACTAATTGCCTTTTTCTCAATCCTTAAAATTAATGCAACTATAGGTAAACAGCATTTTAGAGAACAAGTTATATTGCTTTTAACCTCTTGCATGGAGCTCCCTCTAGGCCTCTAGGCAAAGCCTATAGAAGATTTCTGGGTATGGGTGGCGCCTGTAGCTCAGTGAGTGGGGCACTGGCCCCATATACTGAGGGTGGTGGGTTCGAACCCAGCCCCAGCCAAACTGCAACAACAACAACAAACAAAAAATAGCAGGGCATTGTGGCAGGTGCCTGTAGTCCCAGCTACTCCGGAGGCTGAGGCAAGAGAATTGCTTAAGCCCAAGAGTTTGAGGTTGCTGTGAGCTGTGATGCTGTGGCACTCTACTGAAGGCAATAAAGTGAGACTCTGTCTCTGGAAAAAAAAAAAAAAAGATTTCTCGGTATATTTCCTTCAGAGCCGTTGCTAAGATACGTCCTTCAGATGCATAA